CAGGCTGGATTCGAACCTGCCACCTTAGGTGTATGTGGCTGGCACCTTAGCCACTTGAGCCACAGATGCTGAGCCAAGCCATTCTCTTGGCTCAGCCTCCCAAGTAGCTAGCCGAGGCTGGGATTGAACTCACCAGCCTGAGCATATGTGGCCGGTGCTCTACCCACTAAACTACGGGCGACGCCCAATTTTTCTATTTTTAGTAGAGAAAGGATCTCATTCTTGCTCAGGCTGGTCTCAAATTCCTAAGCTCAAGGGATCTTCCCACCCCAGCCTCCTATAGTGTGAGGATTACAGGCATAAGCCTGGCCTAAATACAGAATTCTTAAGAACTATAAAAAATAACATTATTTTTGGTATACTACATGTAAATAGATAACCCTTACTTAATCCAAGTAACTTTATTTACAAAGACAAATAAAAAGACTTACAAAACTAAATGCAAATTTTTCTCCGGAAAATTACATGGGAATTATTTTGCTTCTCAGTTCCTGTGACCTTGGACTGATAAGTCAGTGATATTCCTTATTTTCACCATGTGAGGGTGTTCCACCTGCCCCCTGGGTAAAGGGCTCAACTACAACTTGAACTTTTTTTTTAGAAACAGAGTCTCAACTTGTCACCCTCAGTAGAGTGCTGTGGCGTTACAGCTCACAGCAACCTCCAGCTCTTGGGCTTAGGTAAATCTCTTGCCTCAGCCTCCCGAGTAGCTGGGACTATACAACTTAAACTTTACCTTAGAAATGAAAACAACCTAACCTAAACATTTGTACCCTCCTAACAATATGAAATAAAAAAAGTCTTCATTTTCACACAGTAACGTCAAAATATTCACTTACATGGTTCACTTATGGGCCTGAGAGATAGAATAATTGTATATCAGTGTGTGATACTGTTCTTCTGATAATTCTTTCTGTAATCTGGATTTCTTTTCCTAGTTTCTTCATGACTGGTTACCTCCCCTTGGGTTTTGAATTTGCTGCTGAAATCACTTACCCTGAATCTGAAGGTACTTCATCTGGGCTTCTTAATGCTGCCGCACAGGTAAACCTCTGATTTCTTTTAAACCTGAGATGATTATTTTATCAAATATTTTGTGAATGATTAGTTTGACCATGGTTTTGATTTTAACAATTCCACTTTTCAGGCAGTGCCTGTGGCTCAGTGAGTAGGGTGCTGGCCACATAGACTGAGGATGGCGGGTTTGAACCCACCCCCAGCCAAACTGCAACTAAAAATAGCCAGGTGTTGTGGTAGGTGCCTGTAGTCCCAGCTACTCCAGAGGCCGAGGCAAGAGAATTGCTTAATCCCAAGAGTTTGAGGTTGCTGGCTCGGCACCTATGGTTCAAGCAGCTAAGGCACCAGCTGCATACACCTGAGGTGGCAGGTTCAAATCCAGCCTGGGTCCTCCAAACAACAATGATGGCTGCAACCCAGAAAAAGCCAGGCGTTGTGGCAGCCGCCTGTAGTCCTAGCATGGGAGGTGGAGGCAGGAGAATCGCTTGAGCCCAGGAGTTGGAGGTTGCTGTGAGCTGTGATGCCACAGTACTCTACCCAGGGGGACAGCTTGAGGTTCTGTCTCAAAAAAAAAAAAAGAGTTTGAGGTCGCTGTGAGCTGTGATGCTACAGCACTCTACTGAGGGCAACAAAGTGAAACTCTGTCTCCAAAAAAAAAAATTCCACTTAATGTTGCCAAAAGCCAGATCATATAAACAAAATAAGTTAAGAAAAGTTCTGGTGAAAAACTTTGTTTTAAAGAAGAAAATGCAGAGGCAGTGCCTGTGGCTCAAAGGAGTAGGGCACCGGCCCCATATACTGGAGGTGGTGGGTTCAAACCCAGCCTCAGCCAAAAACTGCAATTAAAAAATAAATAAATAAATAAATAGGTTAGAATTAAATAATATTAAAAAAATACAGAAGAAAATGCAATAAAATTTATTTTTCTTGTTTTATTTTAGATATTTGGAATTTTGTTCACATTGGCTCAAGGAAAGCTCACGTCAGACTATAATCCTAGAGCAGGGAACATTTTCCTCTGTGTCTGGATGTTCATAGGCATCATTTTAACAGGTAAGTCAGGGAGTTTGCTTGGCAAAAGTGCTTCTGTAATGTTGCCTTTATATTTGATTTTATTGCTTCTCAATTGCTTGGCAGAACTCAACGGGGAAGAAATGAGATCAAAAGCAGGACGTTATTTGTTTCCTTCTAAGGATATGAATCTGTTACTTTGCTTTGCAGTTTCCAAATTCAATACAGTTACTCTGCATAGAAAACAAAAAACTGTTGTAACAAGAACAGTAAAGAGACTGGGCACCATGGCTCACAGCTCTAATCCTAGAATTCTGGGAAGCCAAGGCAGGAGGATGGATTGAGCTCAGGAGTTTGAGACTAGCTGAGAGAGAGTGAGACCCCGTCTCTACTAAAAACAGAAAAACTGAGGCAAGAGAATCACTTGAACCCAAAAGCTTGAAGTTGCTGTGAGCTATGATGCCACAGGGCACTCTACCCAAGGCAACAGATAGCGTGAGACTGTCTCATTAAAAAAAAAAAAAAAAAAAAGAGAAGTGTGAAGACCTAGAATTGGGTGAACCTGACTCAAATTCTGATTCCACTTTTCACTGGCTGTGCGACTTTAGACACGTT